ACTCTTGTACGCGATAGGGAAAAATGGAAGAGTTGTTGGTACCCGGCTCGAGTCACTCGACGATTAACGGGACAACAGGTGATACAGGTGGTATTAATACCCATTCGACGGAGAAAATCTCGATGACTCCGAGGACGAAGCTGGTTTTCGTGAAAGTCTTCACAGTGCGCTGTAGTGGCGGAAAGTTCTCGGAGTTTTCTTCGGAAATAAAAGCTATTTATCCATATAAGTATATCAGCGTGTAGAGAATTTTATGGAGTATCACAACAGTTATACAAAAAGCTAAAGTGTTTCCCAAAACAAAGAAAAAATCCTTATCAAATAACGAAGATTGCGCATTTCTTGCCAAATTGATCAATGGCCATCAGCAAAGGACTCCCCCCTCCCTAACACACCCAATTCAAAAGGCAACCACGACAACCCGAGATGGCAAAGCCTGGAGGGTTAGCCTTAAGGGACCTGAGAGGACTGAGGTCACTTCCTACGATGATCGATGGAGGACAACGAAACGAACACTTGATATATATATATATACTAGCCAAGAACAATCGAGAGTACAACGCTCTGTGTTCGGTGATAATATTACGTATTATATATCCATTTTATTTGACGCTTAGAGCGCATGTGGCGCATTGGTTAGAGGTGCCCTGCGTCGCATACGAGGTCACTGGTTCGATCTCGCGCTCATGGCTCACCAAGCCATCCATCCCTCCGGGCTCGGTAAACTGGTACCAGACAGGTCTCAGACTTGTCTGGGAGGATAAGCAGCACTGACTCGGTTCAGCGGGAGGCCACCGCGAGTCATTGTAAAGGCCAGATGTGCATTCAATTACCTCAAACGAAGTTAAACATTGAAGTCGAATGCATGGCGCATTCCTCAGGGTTTGATCAACGCCGAGAGCTTTATCCTTTTGTTACAGTAATCAGTATAAAATATCAGTGAGGTGATAGTCAAATCACCTAACAGTAAATCTGTTTGAAGGAAGGCTTCTTGTATATTAAAACAACAGAATAAAGCTTTTTCAGCCCACTCAAGCCAAATGGTTGCTCAGGATAAGCAAATGATTCTTCAAGGAAATTATTTTTGTACACCAAAGCAGTTGTAGAAAAGAGGAACATCGTATAGGCTATATCGGCCACAACGCCCCTAAAAGTAATTCCTACAGAATTATGTCATTTAAATGTTTGCCAATCAAAACCCTTCTATAATGTATAGTGGTAAAGTTGGTGAGGTTAATGAAGATTAACATGTTTCAGTCCGCTCACTTTCATCGTGTTTTGAGCATATTTAACACGTTGGGAACCATATGAGTCATATTGTTACATGGTTCGTGTCGTCGAGCACCAGAGTTTTATACGGGGCAAGCATAAAAAGTGGAAATTGGGAGATTTTACTCAGTAAATTAGATTTCCAGGCGAATATTATCACTAGCCGATGAACAAATATCACTGAAGAGAATCCTGTGAAGGCTTCATGCGCTTCTTTAATCGAAAGAGCGCCATTTGTCAGAATAAACTATTTTCCAACAAGACAAACCACACCTTCGCATAAACGAATACATTTCCAACAGTTATTTAATATTTGTTTCTTTCTTTTTGTTCGTGCTTTTACAGTCGTTCGATAGCTCGAGAAATGCCGATTCTCATGATATGCTTGGTTTCTGGTTCTACTTTCATGCTACGTTTTCCTAACCAATAAAATAAAAGGTTCTGCGATCCTAGTTCATTTTCTTGACTTCACAGCGGGAGTTTTGATGTCATATAATGATATTTCAGATTATATTAGATAGAATATTACTGAATGGACACAGGGAAAACATATTTTTAGTGAAAGGGCTGCATAGATCTCTTGAAAAAGTCTAGTATTCTTCATGAACTGAGTGGAATGGAGTCGCATCGTGTGAAATGTGTTGGTAATTTTCTTCCTTTTTAATCAGCAGAGGTTTTTCATTAGACTATTAGTAAACAATCAAGAGCTTGAAAACTGGAAAATTAGTTAGTGAACCTAATTTATGAGAAGACCTCCATACTAAGCTTAACTAACAAAAAAATGACTTTGTGCTCAAAACGCATGTGGCGCAGTGGTTAGGGTGTTTTGCATCGCACACGTGGCCATCGGTTCGATCTCGCGCTCTTGTTTCAGCAAGCTTTTCATTCCTTTGGATCGATAAATTTGTGCGAAACTTGACTAGGAGCATAAGCAGCACTGGCTCAATATCTCGGTAAGCTACCGCGAAACATTGTATAGGCCAGACATGCATTCAATCACCTCAAACGATAACATAGTTCGCAGACGATTGCAGGGCGCACCCCTCAAGGATTCTTCGACAAGAATAAACTTATTCTCCTAATTTTTTGCTCAAGGAGTGCGCTGTTTCAGCACCACTGCGAAATTCACATTTGTTCAATCTCATGAAATGGATTTTGTATTCTAAGCAAACTTCATCGGCACGAAAAGATTGAATATTGCTGGAGAGAGTTCTATAAGCGAATTTCCTCTAAAAAATGCTCATGTACCAAGAAAAGCAGCAGGAAACGAGCGGCTTTCGAACGCTTAAGGAGCGTCGAAGATGTAGTGAAAAGGACTATGAACATCCGACTCCGTGCCCACCTTTTCGACTCGGTGATTATCTCTGCCCCAACGTATGCAGCAGAAACCTGGTCGCTACGTAAGCAGGATGAAAGATCACTTGGCGTTATCGAACGTGCACTCGAAAGGTCAATGCTAGGAGTATCCCATATCTCGAAAACGTGAGAAAGGACCCGAAGTTACGGTCTACGTCAAAGATCGAAGATCTAAGACGCCGTTCTACACGCCAGGATTTGAAGATAAAGTGGGCTGAACACGTGATGCGCTTCAACGACAGCCGATGGACGAGAGCCGTTACCGACTGGATTCTGCGGGATTTCAAACGCTCTACAGGAAGACCACCGACCCGGTGGTCCTCTTTCTTCATAGAAGAAAGACATGATTCGCAGCAAATCCCTAGAGCGATGAGGGCGTGCTGGGCTACTCTTGCACGCGATATGGAAAAGTGGAAGTGTTGCCGGTACCCGCCCGTGTCACTCGACCATCAGCAGGACGACAGGTGATACAGTGATTCCAAAAATTCGTCTTTAATAAAAAGGTGTATACCTGGGAAGGCAGAGCCTTTTAGCTGTTCTTTTCTCTTTGTCTGGAGGACTTTGCAAACGTATATCTAAAAAGCCCATTTTCTGCATTTTCGTCACTAAAATTTCCTATTTCTTTGATGTCGTGGATATTTTGTTGAAAATATTTATTCAACGGTCAAAAACTTCGGCAATCGCATTGATCAAAAACATGCTAAAAACTCTTCATTCAATACATTTGTACCCTTTTTCACAGCATTACTCTATAGTCTTTTTCGATCCAGCTCTCTTCTATTCGTCTCACATATTTGCCTGCACTTCAATCAGCTCGTAATGAGTGATTAGGGACAGTTCATAAAAGTTGGCTAGCTCCTAGCATAGCGAGCATCAGGTCACTTTGAACACCTGCTTGACGTCATCAAAGTACAGGGTTATGGGTGAGAGAGCTTTGCATGACCCATTATCTGCGACAAATGGATTCTCTTTCATGCTGTCCTCAGCTTCAACACCGGTCTCCCCTTCGGCACTGCGAGCATGCTATGCAGAGGATAAATTACACACATGGGTAAGGAGGAAGGATACCCATCGGAAGCAGATAGGAGATCAGATCTCTCATTTATAATGGGGCAGCTGCAACCGGCTACAGATGATTCTGTTGAAGTTATTTGAAAGAGGTTGGAACCCAACAAAGTTTAATAGTTTGTCTTGAGACTAATCAACTTAAAAGGAATCCACAGAACACCTGAATCAGCGCCCTTGTCCAGTGACAAATGCTGCCTTGACAAATGGTGTTCATAGCAAAATACAGGGTGATAAAAATACTTATGGCCCTCAAAAATAAAAGAATAAAGGATAATGCTCTCGGTGTTGATCAATTCCTGAGGGATAGGCCACACTTTCGTCTCCAATTTTTGATTTTTAGTGAGGTGATTGAATACCTTTACACAGACTTGCGGTGACATCTCGCTGCGCAGAGTCAATGCTGTTTAGCCTCCCAGACAAGTCTTCTTCCAGTCCGGCACCAATCTAGCGAAATTGAAGACATAGTAAAACTAGAGAGTCAATATTCTAATCAGTCATTTCAGCAACATCTTGACTGCGCCCATGCTCCCCATGTCACCTTAAATTTGTTAATAAGATGTTCTCACTGCAGCGTTCTCCTTCGTTGTATAGTGATGTGCAAAACTTTTGAGTCACGCGAGATTCGAACCTGTAACTCGCCTTATCCGCGGGCGTGTGCTCTAACTCGTTGCACTACTGACATCCGTTTTGCCATTCCTTTTCTACTCTACAACGCCTCTTTCTGTCAGCAACCAACGGTCAGCGGTAGGCCCACGTAGTCGGTATCGACATTGAACCCAGTCACGCTGAAAGGTGTTGTGTAGTGAATGATCAAATAGAATTATCTTTAATCAACCGCTTTTGGGGGGTATTATTTTATAGAAATACCCTTTGATGTAAAGTGTTGTGCGAAACTTTTGCGTCACGCGAAACTCGAACTCGCATATCACCCTATCCGGCGGAGTATGCTATAGCCCGTTGCACTACTGACGCCCGTTTGCCGCACATCACACCCCGGATTCGTGAGATGCCTCGATTTGATTCGAGATGATTCGAGTCCGACTGGCCCGAAAGTCTTACACGTCACTCTACATCATTGTTAAATCTATGACATCATACCACCGCTAAAAGTGGTTAAGTAAAAAAAATTCAAAATCATTTCATTTGACCGCTTATTGCAGTGCTATGATGTTATAATAAACCCAATGATGTAGAGTGGTGTGTGGGTTCATAGTCGATAAATTAGTGCCCAGGCCAGACCGTAGACTGTTGGCCGTCGACTCGACAAATAACGAATTGTAGCGTAGAAAGAGGGGTGTGCGAAGCGAGCGTTGGTAGTGCATCGGTTCAGTACGCGCTTCTCGAAAGACTGAATTCTGGGTTCGAGTCCCAGTTGAAGCAAGCGTTTCTGCACACCGATTTACATCACTAGGCTTCAAAAGAAATCTATCATAATTATATTTTACATGACTTCACACAAATTATCACTTTGTGCGACTTCCAGCACTTCTCGATTCGCTGTTCAGGTTTATTCATACGTGTGTGTTACGTGCGGATCCAAGTGCTGCATGAAAATTTTGGCTGTGTGCTGAAAGCCTTCACTGTCACGTAATCTCTAGTAGTGCCATGCCAAAACAATTTTCTTCCTTTTCTCTCTCGTTCTATCGTCGTCTCCGACGGTTATCCTTTCGGAAATGACGACGTCCGCGGGCCCATTCCGCAATATTGAAAATGCTGTCATCTATGAATCCAGATGGAAACATTTCCCATCGGCACTTCTAACCACCGTTTGGGTGGTTCCCTGTGGAATGTTTACACTCTCGTAGAGATCACCCTACCGCCCTTTTATGTCACCCTTGCAGTCGTTCTTTTTATTATGAGACCAGCCTGTATATGTTTGGCTACCGATATATATACTTGCGGATCTCAAAGATACTAAAGTTTTCGAACATATCAGCTGCTCGCTCTGGCTCAATGCTGTGAGTTTCACTCGATCTTAGAGGACTTCGTTTATGAGATTTCGACGACTTCGGCCACAGCAGGTTAGAACAAAAAATTTCTGATAAGGTGATTTAGTCCTCCACAAAGGCAGTTTTTATTAGGCAGAGCACAACTACAAGATATGTTGCTTTCTGTAAAGTAAGCACTGTTCAAAAGATATGAGCAAGCTTTCGCTTCGTGCAAAAAAAAAAACAATCTGTCTGGAATAAATCACCACAATTTTCAACAAGTGTCTCGATCTCAATACATGCATGGATAGAAATAGATCAGTGCTGCCATTCTTATCTGATCAACTCATGCTAACTATCAACTCATGTTCCGTTGGACCATAACAGAATGAGGGAAAGCGGTGGATCTATTCGAAATTTTGCTGACAACGTACAACTGTGCTTATTATTGCTATAGCGACATTATGCTGCAATAAGATCCGAAGCTGATAAATTTTAGGAAATCTAAATAAACGCAACAAGTATTGGTATCCACTCATTTCAATATATGTTATCATTGTTTGTGTTATGAAAGTAATAATAGTAAATTGAAGAATTATTTACTTGGTAAATGTTATAGATATTGAATAATTT